ACTATTTTTTTTAAACTTTATTATATTTCAAAAATGTTTTTTATGTATCAAGAACTCTAGGTATTCACAAAATAGTTCTGTTAAGCTGATCAGAACTATGCGACCTTGAATTTCGTTAAAAAGTTAGCACCCCATTTTTAAAAAATTATTAAAAAATAATTATTAAACGCATATGTTATTCAAAATCATAGAGAACTCTTCGTATCATCAAAAAGAAGCAGGAATTATCATCAGAACTATTGTATCTAAAAATTAATTTTTAAAAAATTTTTTAATTTTTTTTTATTATTCGAAAATTTTTTTTACATATCAGGAACTCTAGGCAATCGCAAATTGAAGCTATTAAGCCGCTCAGAACTATTCCACCTCGGAATTCGATAAAAAGTTAGTACCCCATTTTTAAAAAATGTAAAAAAAATGTTTATTGAGCGGAACTCTTGTTATTAACTATAGGGAACTCTTCGTCTCATCAAAAGGAAGTGGGAACTCTAATCAGAACTCCTGAGTACTATAGTTGGGGTGCTAACTTAACATACCCAGGATGTGAAGTGTTAGAATAATGTAATTGTTATGTATAACTTATAACATACTCACCATTTGGGTGTAACGGTTCTGAACACTCAGGACAAGCAATATTAACTCTAGATTCAGAGATTTCCATTTTTAGATATTGTTGAAAGCAATCGTAGCAACTACGATGATGGCAAGATTGAATAATAGGAAAAAATTCTACTGGTAGTTCGGCCAAACATAATGGACAGTCCATTAATCCATTTTCATTACTCTGAAATAATAAAAATAAGAAAGATTTAATAATGAGATGGCTTATTGATAAGAAAATCTGTGACTTTTACTCAGCTTTTTAAAATGTAAAATATTATCTCGCTTTATTAATAAATACCTTTCCTGCAGAAGAAAGCACAGAGCCTTTACTAGGAGCACGCTGTAGGTCTATATTATGAAATTGAAAATGACTCGAGCCATTGCTTACTCTGGCTTCTCCTTTCTCAACATCTGTTGCTCTGCTATTTGCATGATCTTTAGCTATAAAAATGTTTTTTTAATTTGAAAAATTATGCTCACTTCCAATTATTATGTGTATCATGGATTAATAAAATTTAAAGTTACCTTTTGCATTCCTATTACTTGCACTAGGAGTTCTTGCAATACGTCGGCCAATAAGCGGACTGGAATGCAATAATCTTCGCAGGGAAAATCGGGGAAATAATCTCCGAGGACGAGGTGGTGCACCATTGCAACCACCCACACCATTTTCGTTTTCTTTGAACATTTTGAGAGAAGTATTGGGAAACGTTATGCGTTGCTAGAGAGAGTCATAGTTTGTGTCGTAACGCTCAGAATGACACGTTCTGCAATTAATTGTAATTAATTAGGATATCTTAAAATATTAATTAACAAGAATTAGGATATCTGGAATTAACAAAATCTTTATGAAAATATTGAATTAAATTAATTTAAAAAAATCGTATTTCTGATTAAATTATACATATTGTATAGGGATTAAAATTTATACAGAGCGCGTCAGATAAATATACGCAGCTGTTGAAACAAAATTTTATTGACATATACCGATTAATATGTTGTTCTTCTTTTTATGTGTATTTCGTAAATACAATTACGTAAAATGTGGTTCACGGAATATCAGACCTATTAATTAATAGCATGAATAGACTTTGCAAACTCGGGACTGCATGCAATGTGATTGTGACCTCAGCAATAACAGTGATCTCGCTTATTCATTGCCGTTGTCATTCAAGTGATTTATTGCAGAGATAATTGAGAATTTAATGAATATCCATCACGAGACGTTACAGAAACATTTATACTCAAGCCATGTTATACTTAGGTTCGTCAAGGTGTTGTAGTAAGAATAAAAAATAATGATTGAATACAACAAACTGAGCAAATCAAGCGTATATATAATAAAGAATAAATTGTGTAAATTATTCCGAAATTATTTTTGCCATCAGGAATTTTGAATAGTCATAATATTAAAAGAAACATTTACTATATATATATATATATATACAAAAATAAGTAATACAAGTTTCTGTGGTGCACCCTTTTTTATTAAATATTCGTATTAGAAATTAAATTTTGTAAATCTTCGAAAACAAAAACAGCCCAAATGAGTCAACGAAAACGCCGCGTGTTTAGAGAGAATATCTAATCTATAATGTCCATTTCTAATGTATCGATATATATACAGATTAACTTTAATTTCAATTTATTCGCGTTAATTTTCTACTTTTAATTCTTGGAACTAGTTCTTCAAGTTCTAATTCCTGTAGAATTAAAAAAAGATATAAAGTAAATTAAATCGAGATTGAAGTTTTACAATTTACATTGACAGAAATAAAAATTCCGACAGATTTTATCTGCTATGTGATAACTGATCTCACAAATGCGGTTTCATATTTTTGAAAGAATGGCCAAAACTAGTCTTTTTTTTTATTTTCCAACTACATGTCACTGCGCGTGGTCATCCGGTATTTTAACACGTTTTTGCCAAAACGATTCGCCGCTTTCTCTGGGAAAGGAATGATACAAGTTAAATCACACAAACGCGATTTCACCACGTCTGTTTTTTGTTCCTGCACTGCCTGAAGTCCCATGTCTGTGGGACACGTAAATTAATAAATTTAAGTATTGCGCGTTGCGATACTTAAAATCAACACGCACGATTTGCAAAGGAGAAATCGTATCCCTACAATCTTTCGCTCTCTGCGATATGCTGCATATTTTTCAGATTGTATCACGCCTCGTTATCTTTCATAAACCGGCACTTCTGATATAAAATGCACATTACTGTATGCTAAGCATTAGTGAAGAATTGTTTTCCTCGTACCGTATTATGTTACACAATTGAATGACGCTTGATAGCAAACTCGAATGACCATTAAAACAAGACCTCTGTGCTTGAAAACACCCAGACGACGCAGTCTAAAATCAGGACATAAGTCTTTAATGCCCATTTCTATCAATGTATAGTTTAATTTTAATCTTGGTTCAACTAACTTTTCACCTTGTTCTAGTTCTAAAGATTAAAAAGTAAGTTGCATCGAGATTAAAGTTAACCTCTACATTGATAGAAATGAACATAAGATGTCTCTCAGCTTATAAAAATGTTACTAAAATATCTTTAAAACGCCTTATATCTTGATTTTGAACTTCATCTGGATCTAGTTGTTGACAAATATTATTACTCATTTATACATTCACAATTCAATTTATTAAAATCTTTCGAGCTTTAAAATGCTGATTACAATATGAAAAATGAACGTAAGACACAAATGCAACAAATAATACAAAATAAATATTAACATAGAGAAACACAAGATAAATAATAAGATACATATAAAAATATTAATGATAAAAGATATAAATAAAACTTCGCAAAAGGGAAAGTGGTCTCTTACAACGATGATGACGTCACCCCCCGTCTCTCCTTATTTCAATGCGAAATCGCCGTCACAGAATTAAGCTAGCTTTATACTTCCACTAAGTAATCGTTCAAAACAAATTCCCGCTGAATCGATAAATTCAAACGCTTAATTTGTAAAAGTCACTGCTCGACTATTTGTGATAATCGGAATTAGCCGCACAATCGGATCGAAATTGGTCGTGACGCAGCTCGCTTGGTTAAGACGTCTCTATTGCGACGATTTAAATGTGGCACCGTCCGCCTCGCGGGAGAGCCGTCATCATCAAAGCAGGAAATCACACGAATACCGTCACGCGGGACTGTCTCAGGATCACGCGTTCCCCTGTCGAATGTCGAACGATCGCTACTGGCGCATGATCGAGCGAACCGTATATGCGTATATACGTGTGAAACGGAGCGGTAAAAAAAAATATACCGACAGACTCGCACTTTCGATGGCTCTGTTTATACTCGTCACCAACGTGCGTCAGCGAACGCCGTGGATTGACGGAGAATGCGCTTAGTTTCCCTTTTCTTTTTTTTTTTTTCCGCTCTCCGGCGAGAGAGGTGCTTAAGATAAGGCGCGGCTCGTGAAAAATCTCACGTCTTATCACCGCTCGCGAGCGCGCCTCGTGCGCCTGATGACGTGATGACTGGCACTCGCTGATGCAAATACGATGCGAAGGTGTCGAGAGACCGTGACTCGGTCTCTCCTCCACGACGGGCAACGTGTCAATAACGTACCTTTCTCGTGCTTTCGAGTGGTAGCCAAGAGTCGATCGCCGAAGTAAGCACGGTTCGTCACCCGAGTCGTATGAAGTTTGGTCAAATATCCGAGCAATTTGTTGGTTAAGAATGTTCACTTTGACACAACAGCTGACTGCCTCGATTACGACGGCATTGCGGAAAGGAGTCTAAAATAGATTGATCATCGGAGTAGATCGCAACGATCACGTCTTTGGCACGCGCGATAGTAGCGCCACTCGGTGGCAACAGTCGTCGTTACGCGCGAACAACCCGCGAGAATTCGAAACTGCAGAAACGACACGAACCGACATAAATGATTGCATTCAGCGGAATAAACATACTAAATAAATTGAAATAATATGTAGCGATATTTCCTGTAAATACACTTTACAAAAATTATAACTCTAGAACATGCCAATATAATAATGTAAATTTGCAAATGTATCATATCAATATTTATGTAAAACAAAAATGGATATACTTCAATCCGTGTAAACATTAAACCATTAAAATTATTAAAATCAGTTTTTACGCTCTTGTATTATATCAATCACACATGCTTTGTTTGTTTAATCGCGGTGATAAAAATAAAATTCCTACACTATCATGTTATATATACATATAATGGCGTACTGCATACATTTAAATATACAATTATAAATAATTACGACAATTACTTTTCATACACATAAAGAAAACAAGATGCAAATCATTGATACAAATTATCATTATTAAACTCATTACACACCACACACACACACACACACACAGACACCTACACTCACACCCATACACACACAATATTAAGTATCATCATTAATTTATGACGCAGAGAAATTAAAATACATAAAAATAGTTCTAGTGAGTACATATTCACAGAACATTACATAATTCTAAAAACTTTATACGTACAAAATAAACTTGAAATGTATTCATTTAATTATAACAATATAAATGGTTTAACAAAATATCATTTAACTATAATAGATTACGCATAAATTGCACTGAATATGTATTATTTACGTATATATAAACACATTAAAATTAAAATATCTATTTATTTTCAACATCTTTACCTATTGCATCAGTTATAGAAGAAAAACCATTGTTTTTAAGTATTTCGCATAATTCTTTTTTTATTTTGCCAACTATTGGTGGTCCGTGATATGTATAGGAAGTATAAAGTTGCACCAGAGAAGCACCAGCTTTTATTTTAACATAAACATCAGATCCAGAAAAAACACCACCTACGCCAATAATTGGAATGTTGCCATGCGTTCGTCTATACATGTCAGATATCATAGCTGTGGAAATATCTGTGAGAGGTGCACCACTAAGGCCTCCACTTTCTTGCTTGTTCGGATTAGTCAAGTTTGTTCGCGTAATTGTGGTATTGCATAAAACTAAACCATCGACTTTAGACTTTTTATTTAAAATTACATCTGCCACATCTTGTCGCTCGGACTCTGACAGATCTGGAGCCAATTTTAAAAATAATGGCTGTTTACTACCCACTGATTCTCTTGCTGCATTTATTCTGGTCAATAATTCTTCCAAATTTTTCTTATTTTGTAAAGATCTTAAACCTGGAGTATTAGGACTAGAAATATTAATTACAAAATAATCCGCTACATCCATGAATCTTTTTATGCCATCAATGTAATCTTGAACTGCATCTTGACTCTCCTTGTTTTTCCCTAAATTTATTCCAAGAATACCATCAAAATTTTTATTCTCCTTCAATCTCTTGAGGCGATCCCATATGGCATTATGACCTTCACTATTAAATCCATATCGATTTATAACTGCATTATCTTCCGGTAATCTAAAGACTCTGGGTTTTGGATTACCAGGTTGAGGTTTAGGTGTTACAGAACCTACAAGAAAGTAAGATAAGATTGGTGTTACATCTAAATGTATTAAAGTTTAAGGGTATGATCAAGACAATATCAAAAATGTTTTAAAGCATTTTTTTTATTGATCAATTTGTAAGATTCTTCTTCTAATTGGTCTATTAAATGTTTCAAAGTATTTGTAGCCTTTGATTTTTTGAAATTGTAGAATTTGATCATAGCCTAAGTCTGTACCTACTATTGAATAAATTTTTTA